TTTCGGAGGTCGCCCCGGGAGGCTTTCCGGGGGGAGGCTTTCGGGGGGGGGGGAGGCTGTCGGGGGGAGGCTTTCGGGGGTAGGGGAGGCTTTCGGGGGGCGAGGAGGGGCGGCGGGGATCGCCCCCGCGTCTTGCTGGCCAACCGCCGGCTGCGATCGCCGTCAGCCCATCGCGCGCGCGTTTCGCGCTCCTGCCGGGGCGCTCCACGGCCAAGAGCGCGTGTGCGACGGCGTCCCTGCAGTCGGAGCGGCAACGAGCTCACTGGAGGCAGAACAAGTACGAAGGTAGACATTTGCGAAGGCAGAAACATGCTGATGGCACGAATGTCTGATGACACAACAAGAAAGAAAAACGGCCAATGTTTTGCCACATGTTTTGCCTTAGAGGAGGGCTGCGCAGGGACCGTTGCTCTTGTGACCCGCCCTCGTTGCGTTGGCGCTATACTTTCCCCCCTTCGCCTCCTCGCGGTACGGCCGCTGCTTCTGTTGAGCGGCGGTTTCTTGCCTTCACTGCTAGCTCGACCGACTCGACGCTGCACATGAGGGGGGAAACGTTAGGGAGACTGGCTCAGGGGGGCTGTGGGGGGAAACATCGCACTGGTATCAGCGATACATCGCCGATAGATCGGCGATAGACCGAATTGGAGCGAATCCTCGCACGCTCCTGGGCAGGGTTTGCTGTCAGGCCGCTATCGGCGATCAGTGGGCGATTCGGGGTCGATGTATCCCCCCCTGAGCCTACTCCCACCTAACGTTGCCCCTGAAAACCACACACGAGGGGCGTCTTTTCCTCCATCCCATACGATTGTCGCTATTTGGGCACCTTTCGACACTTGCGGGCTATTTGGGCTATCAGGCCCCTGTTGGCGATCAGTGGGCGATTGGGGGTCGATGCATACCCCCCCCCTCAACGTTGCCAATGAGTACATCAGCGGCGTGAAGATGCAAAAAAGGCGGAGGACCACCTCGGCGACGCGGCGCTTCAGCTAGTCTTGCGCCCGCCGCCACCCATGCAGGGAGGGCGGCCGCGGCGAACCCAGCCGACAGCGATCGGGAGGAGGCAGGAGACGGGAGGGAGGCAGGAGGAGGCAGGTGCAGGATCGGGCCAGATCGAATGGGCCAGCGAGCTCGTCTGGAGCCACAGCGCCGTCTGGGGCAAGCAAGGCCGCCACAAGCACGGGGGTAAGCCTGAGCCTCGGAAAAAAAATCCGGCTGTGCTGATAGCCGCCCTGCCCAGCGGACAAAAGGGAGGAGGGGGGAGGCAGGAGCGAGGCAGGAGGGAGGCAGAGGCAGGAGGAGGGAGACAGGGAGAAATGCAGGAGGCGGCGGCAGGAGGAGGGAGGCAGAAGGAGAAGAGCAGGAGGAGGAGGGAGACAGAATGGAGGGCCAGGAAGAGGAGGGTCGAGATCATGGCGGGCACCGAGCGCCGGGCATGATGATGCGCTCGTCGTTCGCGGCGCCGGCCGGGGGGGAGGAACGACCAGTGGTCGCCGGAAGCACACACTGGGGAGCCAACCCCCTCCTCTGTGCAGCCCACGTGCTACAAGAAGGAACGTCACGTAAAGGGCGGAAAACCAGAGCCCCTCCTGAACGCAGAGAGATCTCTACTTCAGCGCGTTGGGGCTCTCGGTGGTACGCCGGGGGGGGGGAAGGCAGAGGGGGCTGGCCGTCTCAGGCGGCGGCCGGGCTTCGCGGGAGCACTCACGCCTCCCGAGAATCCGTCCTGCGCTTCTGGGACAGCTTCTCGAGAGGCGCGAGGGCTGCCGCAGAGCCCCTGATCCGCCCTCCGAGCAGAAGGCCGGCCCCCTCGCCTCGCCTCCGCGCTCGCTTCCGCGCGCGGCCGCTGCAAACCCCCCACTCTACCGGTGTGCGCGCTCTGGCGCCCCCCGCCCGGCATCCCCCCTGGGACGTCCACGGCACCCACCCTGGCGTTCACGTCGACGCCGTTCCTCGGGGAGGCCACAGCTGCGGCGCAGGGGGTGGGCGAGTGGCCATGGCGCCGGGGCCCCGCACCGCGGGGGGAGCCCCGCACCGCGCGCCTCTGGAGGGGCGAGCTGCCCTGACCCCATGGGCGGGAGGAGGAGGAGGAGGAGGAGGAGGAGGGACGAGGAGGAGGAGGACGACGAGGAGGAGGAGGAAGAGGAGGACGAGGAGGAGGAGGAGGAGGAGGAGGAGGAGGAGGAGGGGGAGGAATAGCAGCAAGGAGGCAGGAGGGCGGAGGTAGGCAGGAAGGGCATGACTTTGGAGCTTTGGGGAGCCACACTCAGATACGCACTATTGTCCAGTCGTGTGGCGCACGATTACGATTGCGAATGCATTAGCGAAAGACTTGCTGTAGACAAGTGCGCATGCAAGCATGTACTTGGCGCGCGTTCTGTAGCCGCCGAGGCTCGAATACAAAAGTCTTTCGGCACGTTCTAAAGCGAGAGTTCTTTCTTATATAAAATAGCAGGCGGCAGAAGACCTAAACTGCAGCTTTCGACCATGAGAAAGAAGCACAACACCGTGATGCACATTATGGAGGACAATGCGGGCCATATGGGAGACCTCGCGGGAGACCACACGGGAGATCACACGGGAGGCCACACGGGGTACCATACGAAATACCACACGAGAGACCGCACGGGAAACCACACCGGAGACCACACGGGAGACCAAACGGAAGTCACACGGGAGATCACGCGGGTGACCACGCGGGAGACCACGCGGGAGACCACACGGAAGGCCACACGAGATACCATACGGGAGGCCACACGGGAGGCCACACGGGAGATCACACGGGAGACCACAGGGGAGACCATACAATCAAAAACCCTAATAAGGACGCGCGGTAAGGACGCAAGACCCTTAGAAGCCGAAGTTGGGATTTCTGGGGCGGCGGGCGACGAAAACCTCAAGGACGCAAGAGCAAGGAGGAGCAAGGACGCAAGGGTACCCTGAGCAAAGTCGCGCGTCCTTATTACGATTTTTGACTGTACCGGACAGCATACGGGAGACCATGCCCATGCGGGAGAACCTACGGGAGAGCGAGGATTCTGGACCGGGAGGGGCCCACACCCATCCTTGGAGACAATACACTTAAGTCGGGCATGTCCTCCTACGGGCGGATTTTGGACGAAAAAATAGAGAGACCAAAAAAATCCGCCGGCCCCCTTGTGGGGCCACCAGGCTGTAGGGCGAAGGTTCGCAGTTTCCTGTACCAGTTGCAGCTTCCAGTTTCCACTGTTACAGTTCTGCTTCTTGCTGCTTACTGCTCCTTGTTGACTTCTTGCTGCTTACTGTTCCTTGTTGATGGACCGCGCGAGGGGGGGAGGCCCAAAACAGGCATTTTGGCCACGGCCAAAACGTATTGTCTGAATTGCTGGGGTGGGTAAAAATTTACACCCCTCACGCAGATCGGCGGGGTCAGGGTCCAAAATCACATGGGATTTGCAACATTTCTAGAATTCGGCGGCACCCCTCACGCAGATCGGCAGGGTCAGGGCCCAAAAACACATGGCATTTGCCACATTTCTGAAATTCGGCGGCACCCCTCACGCAGATCGGCAGGGTCAGGGTCCAAAAACATATGGGATTTGCCACATTTCTGACATTCGGTGGCACCCCTCACGCAGATCCGTAGGGTCAGGGTCCAAAAACACAGGGAAATTGCCACATTTCTGGAATTCGGCGGCCCCCCTCACGCAGATCCGCAGGGTCAGGGTCCAAAAACAAACAGGTCCCGACACTGCTTCACGGCGGCGCCCAGACCTCATGATTTGGCTTTTGCATCTCCCATTCTCCGAGACAGGGGGGCCGGCGAAGCCCTTACGGATTCTCAAAAAATGGTAAAAAATAGTCCAGAAATCGTCCCCAGACTATACTTTTTACTATTTTTGAACATTTCTCCTGTAGAAGGACAGTCCCGACTCAACAATACACAAGACCCTCCCGGACAGGCCGTCTGGGGAACTGCAGAAACACAGCTTGAGAGCTCTTTGGCTCCATGGCGATCGAACCACCTGCAGGCAGGTTTTCGAGGCCCAGACCTCCGACGACGTGGTTGTCTCAATGCTGGAGCTCTCCCTCGATTTCGGCATCCCCTTTCGGACCCGAGGGCTGCCATAAAAACGACCCCTGCGGTGAAGAACTGGGTGTCAAGTGGTCTGGGTGGGGGGGGGGGGCACGTCTTGAGAGAAAGACGTCCGACATCTGGGCGGATCGAGATTCGAGGATCGAGATTTTTGCGTGCTGTGCATCGCTTCTGGTCCTCCAGAAGTGTCTGAGGCCCTCCGAGACCTCCAACAGCCACCCCACCCGCTCTCCCTGCCAACTCCCACCTCGCCCTGCGCACGACCTCCCTCCCCCTATTGGAGGTCCTTCTCCTCCTCCGCCTGACCATCCGCCTTACCCTCCCCCTCCTCCTCCTCCTCCTCCTCCCCCTCCTCCTCCTCCTCCTCCTCCTCCTCCTCCTCCTCCTCCTCCTCAGCCCCCGCGGCCCAGGCTGCAACCCAGAAGGGGGGTGACGCGCGCCACCAGGCATGTCCTTGCACCTGCCTCGACACACTCCCTCGGTGGGCGGTGTGTGCCTCGGGCGGCCATGGTCTGGTGATGGTTCGATGTTGCATGCGGAATCCGGTGTCGATGCGGCAGGCAGGCATGCAGATGGAAGGATGTGCAGCAGCAGCTACGCAATTGACATGTTATTGCTCTTGCTGGCACTCAGTGTGGTACGGATCTTCCATGTGTCCAAGACTGGTCAGGCAAGGGGCGCAGCGCTGGCACTGCAGGTCGACCTACGGGATGTTCGTTATTGATTCGTGATTGCGTGCTTGATGGCAAGCAGGTCCGCAGGGTGTGGCACTTCTCGGGCGAGCTGGTGGGCAAGCTTGGAGCGGTTAGGCGCAAGTCGTCGCCGAGTGATGTGCCATGTATTGCTGCCTATGCTCCTGTCGAGTCCCCAGGCGGAGCGGGACGTGCTGCTGCCTTGAGGAGGTGTCAGAGGTTCTGGAGCAAGCTGGAGTCCTTGACAGACGAGCTGCCGAATCGTACCGTTCCGCTCTCTTACTGCTTGATGCTGATGCACGGGTTGGGAATATTGATAGTGATAGTCCGGGCCTTTACGAAGTGGGTCACGAAAAAAACTTCAACGCTTGCTTATTTCGGGAAGTGTTTGAGTCTCATCAGTTGTGCGCTGTTAACACTCATGTGGTGTGTGGTCCCACATTTTTACCATGGGAGTGGTACGGTGTTTGTTTTGTTTGCGCCGTATTCGTAACATGGGATTGGTACGAATACGGCGCGCGTGGGTTCTATTTGCACGACTAAGGAAGTGCTGGGTAAAGCTCGTAAGTGTGAGGTGTGGGAGCGAGCTGTCGAGGCCTTACTGCTGATAAACACGAGGAGTCGCCGTGATCACTTTCCACTGGTGTCGCTTCTGGATCTTGACCAGTTGTTTCCTGATGCGACTGGGTATCGATGGGACCATAAGATACTTAATCGCGCAGTTCTGCATGGGGCCCGTCGTCGAGAATTCCTGGAGGCGGTGAATAGGGAGCTCGGTCAGGTCAGCGTGGAAAGTGAGGAAGCTGTTAGGCAATGTGCGGATACGTTCGCCTGCAAGTCCACAACGTAATGAACACGATTGCTCGTGAGTTGTTTTGGCCAGCAGCCTAAACGAGTGGATCGCCCTGAGGCGACGTCCGCTGGTCTTGCCAAGCGGGTTCGCTTGAGGCAGAAGCTGCGGCAGCTGAAGAAGCGTCCTCCCCCTCCTCCTCCTCCTCCTTGAGGTTGTGATCCCCTGTGGCTCCTGGCTTGTCTCCCTCATGCTGCGTCAGGTCGTTTTCTCCTCCGAATGTGTTGGCCAAGCACATATTCCTTTATCGGAGGGTGAATCGGGAGATTCGATGGAGGGTGAGGAAGGATCGCAACTGTCTCATCGGATTGGGGCTGCGGAGCTGGACGGCGCATGGAATGATCGAGATGTTTCCCAACCATCCTGTGGTGTTGGGTCCTCGTTTTGAAGAGACGGTCCCCGCGTCCCTCACCTTTCTCCCTTCTTCCTCCCCCTCCTCCCCCCTCCTCCCACCAGCATCGCCATCACCCGTTTGAGCATACCCCTCACACGCTTCGTGGCCCCATAGGGAGCTCCACCGACGGCCCCAGTGCTACCGCCCGCATGCGTCACCCCCCCACCCAGTACAGCGCTTCGTGACGTCATAGGGAGCTCTACTGAAGGCCCCAGTGCTACTGCCCACATGAGCCCCCCCCACCCAGTACAGCGTTTCGTGCCTCGATACGGAGCTCCACCGACGGTCCCTGTGCTACCGCCCGCATGCGCCCCCCCACCCAATACAGTGAATCGTGGCCCCATGAGGAGCTCCACCGACGGCCCCAGCGCTACCGCCCGCATGCGCCGCCCCCACCCAAAACAAATACAGCGCTTCGTGGCCCCACAGGGAGCTCCACCGGCTGCCCGTGCTACCGCCCGCATGTGCCCCCCCCCACCCAGTACAGCGCTTCGTGGCCCCATACGGAGCTCCACCGAAGGTCCCAGCGCCACCGCCCGCATGCGTCTCCCCAAGCACAGCGATTCGTGGGCCCATAAGGAGTTACACCGAAGGTCCCTCTGCTACCGCCCGCATGCGCCAGCCCCCCCCCACACAGCCAGTATGAGGGCTCCACCAACGGCCTCAGTGCTACCGCCCGCATGCGTCCTCCCACCCAGTACAGCGCTTCGTGGCCCCATAGGGAGCTCCACCGACGGCCCCAGTGTTACCGCCCGCATGCGTCCCCCCCCACCCAGTACAGCGTTTCGTGGCACCATAGGGGGCTCCACCAAAGGTCCCAGCGCTACCGCCCGCATGCGTCCCCCCCACCCAGTACAGCGCTTCGTGGCCCCATAGGGAGCTCCAACGACGGCCCCAGTGATATCGCCCGCATGCGTCCACTCCACCCAGTACAGCGCTTC